CCCTGACCCCAGCCGTGCCCTCTCACAGAGCCGTCCCCCGTGACCCCTGACCCCAGCCGTGCCCTGACCCCAGCTGTGCCCTCTCACAGAGCCGTCCCCCGTGACCCCTGACCCCAGCCGTGCCCTGACCCCAGCTGTGCCCTCTCACAGAGCCGTCCCCCGTGACGCCCACGGGCAAGCCCATCGCCGGCACCACGGACGCAGAGGAGGCGTCGCGGCTGCTGGCGGAGAGGAGGCGCCAGGCCCGGCTGCAGCGCGAGCTGGAGGAGCGGCAGCAGCGGGAGCAGGAGGAGGCCGAGAGGTGCGTCTCTACGCGGGGGCGGGGGGCGAGGGGTGCTGGGAACAGCGGCTTGCCTGGCCGTTCTCCCTGCCTCCATGGCGGTAAAGCCCCGACTCCGTGTCCGCAGGGTGAGGGCGGAGGAGGAGCGCAGGAAGGTGGCGGAGGAGCGGGCGCGGCAGGAAGAGGAGGCCCGCCGGGCCGAGGAGGAGAGGCTGAGGGAGGAAGAGGAGCAGAGGCTGAGGGAGGAGGCCGAGAGGCAGCAGAGAGAGAGGCAGGCCAGGGAGCTGCAGGCCCGGCTGGACAGAGAGGTCAGTGCGCCGGGCTGGGGCTCCTCCACACAGACCCGCGTGCCACTCCGCTAGGGCGTGTCGGTGCAGTCTGGGAAAAAAAGAAAGTCCTTCCGTCCTGCTCTGCCTTCCCTCCTTCTTCTCTTGATTTTGTGCCTTTTCGTTCCTGCATCAATCAAATAACTATATCTCTGTCGTGACCAGAAACAAGCATGTTTCTGTGTCACCTGTTAAACTAGACTACATCTGCAGGCTTTTTGATTCTGGGAAAATTGTGATTGTTAATATCCTGACTTGACAAGCAAAATTCTTGGATAAAAATGTTGGATCATTTAGAGCACTGTTTTCAAGCTTGTTGTTAAGAATGACATATCACTGAGAATGAAAAAAACAGGATTTGGGAGAAGTGGACTCCTGTTATTACTCTTAAATGTGTGTGCTTGTCCTGGGGCAGTCTGTCTGCAGGGAAGTGTATATCTGCATGTCCTGCTGTGGTCTATGTGCAGCGCAGTGTGTCTGTGCATGTCCTGCGGTGGTCTGTGTGCAGCGCAGTGTGTCTGTGCATGTCCTG